AGAACACTCTGACTTGTTTCTTACGTGGCACACCCAAAGCTTAAATGATTGGGAACATGTGGCATAGATATTGTACAGGAGGTCGGAGCTCTGAGGGGATGATTGACTCAGGTAATTTTTAGGTTTCTCTCATCCTTGTGAATTCACAATGCTAAAGCTGGAGAAACTGCTGAAATCATTCCAAATCAGCCCTGAATTTCACAGCCAAAGTCATTTGAGGAAATAAAGCAATTAAATTTCAGAAAACCCAAATCAAAAATTTTCAAAGTCATTAAAAAATATTCAGTAGATTAGGATAAGGAGTATTTTAAAATAAGTAAAGCTTTAACCTAATTAAAAATTTTTGTTTCTATCTTTATCCCCTCTGCTCATTATTTTGAGAAATTGGAGATTATATAGTTAAAATACTAGAAATTGGATATTTCTTTCTTATTTATGTTTCTCAAAAATGTTATAATTATTAATAAAATATCCATCATTAAATATTTCAGAATTAATTTAATATTTTAATCTATTTTGCAAAAAAATTAGAAGCTAGTATAAGCCTTACTGATCACAAATTTAAATTATATCAAGAATAATTTATAAATTTTTAACAGATTATCCTTTTTTCCCTAAATTCCTATGAACAATTTTTATAAATCAAATGTAGTATAACTGGATTGGATGATGAAATGTAAATACTGAGACAAAATGTCAGATAAAAGAATAGGGACATAGGTAAATTTTATTGTTATATGTTATTATAATAAATACTTGCAGTATTATATTTTAGAAACTGTATAAATTGGAAAATATCATTATCTTTTCTTTTGCAATGAAATTAAAAGTAATTATTTACTAGGCTTTATATCCATGTGATTTCAATAATGAGATATTTCCTAGATCATCCTAGAAAAATATGATGCAAAGGAAATGACAAGTAACCTGTTTTCATTGCAAATTATATGCATTATTTTTTTAATTTTATTTTTTTAATTGTTTTATTGTTTAAAGTATTACACAGAGTATTACATATGTCTCCTTTTTTTCCCGCCGTTAACAATCCCCTGACCTCCCCTACCCCCCAGTGTCTTATGTCCATTGGGTATGCTTATATGCATGCATACAAGTCCTTCGGTTGATCTCTTACCCCCACCCCTCCCGCCCCTCAACCCTCCCCGGCTTTCACGGGGCAGTTTGACAGTCTGTTCGAGGCTATTTTTGTTCATAAGTTTATAATGATCTTTATTAGATGGAACAGTTTTCTAATCCATTCATCTACTGATGGGCACTTAGGCTGTTTCCAGATCTTAGCTATGGTGAATTGTGCTGCTATGAACAGATGGGTGCATATATCCTTTCTGATTGGTGTTTCTGGTGTT